ACGTCGTTGACTAAACACCGACTGAGTTTTCTCTGAAATTCAATGAGTATGTAGAGAGTTACCTTGCCTCGATTAACTTCACTTTGACACTTCCTCCCAAGAACTTTGATCGAGAGTGTAGGCGACGTTTAAGGGATGAGAGATATCTTATTGATCTCTTTAGATAACTATTTAAGCCATTTCATTAATGGATGAAATGTGTTAAAACATAAGAAAGATTTTAGTAAGCTACTTCGGATTAGGGCAGAAAATTCTTAATTTGTAACAATTTCTGTAAGTCTCCAGAGAAATATCGGCTCACACCATTTTATACCACCTCCACCAAACTGAACTCTGGGAGTAAAACAACATTGCTGATAACGTTCACCAGCTCTTCTAAAAATCCTAGACCGCCCATCTGATGAGTATCCGTTAAATCTTAATTCATCCGTGAAGAGTACCGCATCTTCTTCTTCAATACTTCAATTAAGATGCTCGCGAGCGAAGTGTAAACGTTAGCTCCGATGACTTGCTGTTGATAGGGGTCCCATCTCCGAACATAGAAACTGTGTTTCTATGGACATCATTTAATCTTTGAGCAAGTACTGGTGGTGATAATGTGCGATCGCGTAACGCTTGCAATCTAATAAAGCGACCTTCAGCTTGACTTATGGTTGTTTATCTACTTTGACCTGGCCTCCTGGTACAGGTATTGTCATGATATCCGAAATCTGTGTATTGCATTAAACACTACTTAGATAAATTCCTAGAGCATTTGCAGTGTAACGAATGCTCCGCCCATCATCCTGTAAAGCAACAGGTTGTGCTATTTCTTATAGTGTCATCATTTTGTTACTGCAATTTTTGAAAGGGTTATAACAACGGGATTTTTAACACATTACAATGCCCGTGCAATTTTGGACCTACAACACTTTCAATGTTAGAGTAGAGTTAGAGTAAGAGTAAGTTACACTAACAAAAGCCTCGGCTACCAAACTAAGGGTACGTTCATAATGGAGACTATCGCATCGTATCTTCGCCTAGAGCATAGCACTTACATTGAAGTGAACGCTCGCATTAAAAATAATGCATTTATTTTACCTGGCGATGATAATATGATACCATCCTGTGGTCCTAGCAAGGGTCGGCGCCTCGTTATGAGCTCACACTAAGAGTCACACAGAGAAGAATGGAGCCATCCATGTTAGGTAACTCTGCGAGACAAAATAAAAAACGAAGAGGTTCAGAAGAAGAACCAAGATGACTGACGTCATCGAAAGGATAATCAGATCTGGGGTATGAAACACTCACGCCGGTGATATATCAGAAGCGGTTTTAATAGTGAATAGGGGAAAGAAATCCTGTGGAATTCGTACACGGGAAAAATCGTAGTCTTCCAAAATCGGTCTGGTTTGAATGCTTAGCGAAAGTGATCTAAAACATTTAAATGTCAAATTACGTAGGGATTACTATATTTATTAATCATTCATTATTTACACTGGTATTTAAACCGTTCAAGTTAAACAATGACTCTTCATTGTTTTCGTTGTTTATCAATATACCTAATTATTCAAGGTGATAAGGTACCTTTTAATATTGCTTTAATACAAAAACAAAAACATGAAATTGTGGTTCGCTGATCGATAATGTAGTAAATCGAGAAATAATAAGTGTTTTTATGTTATGTATAACATAAACAAATAAATAAAATCTATAAAAATGTGCCATTTACAACTTGGAATGGAATTAAATAATACGACTTTCAGAAAATAACAAACAATAATAAAATATAATTCAAAAAGATTTAAATAGAGGTTTAGATCTCGAGAGAATGTTACAATAAAAGTTAAAAAAAATCAAATTTGAATATTGCGATATTTTTAGTATTTTTGACTCTTTTTTTCCTTCTGTCTTTGTCCAGTCTGGTCCAGTTTCTCTAATGAAGGTTTTTTAAAATAATTGATTTGTTTATATTTTACCCTTACCGCATTTTCTGTTACTCCTTTTTTGTTTCATTTTTCAATTTTCCTGTACGTTTTGAGATTTTTTAAGTATCCATGTCAGGTCAGGATACCTAGCCAGTTTTTGCATCATTACAATATGCATATGAGACTTGACATGCCATTTACATTGGTTACCCCTAGATATACGTTTCTTAAGAATCATACTTATTTTCGTATTCTGTATTGCTTAGTTCCCTGCATTTCCTTTTTAGTGAGAATCGTAGAATCGATTAACCCTACCCTGAAGTTTATTTTAAGATGTTTCTAAAAGAACAAGTACAGTAAGCGCTAATAGAAATGATCCTGAAAACTTATATAAATAATAAAATTAATTAATTACTGTAATAAGTATTAAAAATTAAATAATAAAAATTCAAATAATATGAATTTTAATTATTTTGCGATAAAGAATGTATTTAATGTAACTACTCTAGATCTCCACGCAGTAATTATAACGCTTAATTGTAAAAATAAGTCGCTACTTTCTCTTAAAAAAAAATTAAGTTTCTTTTCAGTTCTCGGTGTTTATTCATAGTTGTCGGTGGCATTTCCGCAAAAATGGCTGGTTTTAGCATACCCCATACACACGCATCATGAGCTATTACATAAGGTGAATGAGACGTGTAAGAATGCTATGAGAAGTTACGATCTGTCAAAATTTTCTTGAACCAATTCTGAGGATGCTGTCGTGCTGTGGCATATAGCTCTATCTTGGAACCATTTGGTATTACATGGGATTTTACAAATAAAATCGAGCACAGTTCTTTGATTAAAACTTACCCGAGTACTTTCGCACTCAGAGCATCTTCAGGGGCATTTCATAAAAAAGGAGTCTATCCAGCAGATTTAGGAATGTCATAATATCAAACATCGGACAAAAGGACAAACAGTTTAAAATAATTATTCAGGATGCTACATTATGGGCAATGGCAGGAGACAGAGTGGCATACAGTCCTGACATGACACCGTGTGATTTCTTTGGGATCTCTGAATCAAAAACAATTCTCATTTGTGAGATACATATTTCAGACTGGCATAAATGCTTCGACGATTGGCTGGTTAGCAGCAGCACTAAATATGACGACCTTGAACACAAGAACATACAAAAGGTAACCTAGACCTCTCCCGATGGAAGAACAACGAATCAGATTGATCACATCTTAATAGATTCAAGGCATGGAACAGACATAATAAACTGCAGAAGTTATAGAGGCGCAAACATAGACTCAGATCATCGCCTAGTGATCTCGACATTGAGGGCTAGAATTTCAAACATCAGTAAAGAAAATAAAATGGATAGAAAAAAATGGAATTAGCAAAAGCTGAGAGATGTGACAATTGCAAAATGGTACTCGGAAAACATAAATGAAGAAGGCCAGACAGATATAGACTCCTACTGGACCAGAATGAAGGAAGATATTGAAGCAATAGCGAAAGATAAAATATGAACAGAAATGTGTGCCTTTAAAATTAATTGGCAAGAATGCAACAAAAGAAAAAAATTAAGCCTAGAGAAAGCTGCTTACCCGACGAACTAGAACAACTGTAGAGAATTACCATACAAAGAGAAGAGAAGAAAAGACGATAAACAAAAGGAAAGATGGGAGGGAAGAGGAACCACCAACGATTCTTGATGCAAAGATGCAATTAAAAAACTAGCCAAAAACAAATCACCTGGAATAGATAATCTCCCAGCTGAACTATATAAAGAAGGTGGTCATGATACCATAATGGTATTACAGCAGCTTATAAAAGAAATATGGACACAGGAATTCCTCCCCAATGATTGGAATATTGGAATACTTTGCACCATACACAAAAAAGGAGATATCTTTGAATGCTCTAACCACAGAGGAATTAGGCTTCTAAATATTTTCATATGTAGAACGGATAGTAGGAAAATACCAGGCTGGTTTCAGAGGTGGAAAATCGACAATTCATCAGATTGCAAAACTGAAACAAAATTTGGAAAAAACACTGAAATATGGCATTACTTATTACATATTTATAGACTACAAAGCAGTTTACGACTCTGTGAATAGAAGAGAAATGTTCATAACAATGAAAGAGCTACGAATATCAAATCAGTTGGTAAATTTAACAAAACTAACTCTTGAAAAAGTTGAATGTAGAGTACGAATTCAGGGGGAACTGTCTGACCCTTTTAAAACAGATAACGGGCTGCGCTAGGGAGACCCTCTCTCCTGTGTACTGTTCAATCTGATGATATCAATATTGTACTTATGCCAATATTTCTTTTTAATTTTTTAGAAGTTAGTGTGATAAACATAACTGGTATTGTTAATAAAATCTTTCGTTTTTACTTAGAATGATATTTTGCACTTGGGTGCTAGTTTTAAATGTTCTCATTAGTGCCCGATATAAATCTTTATTGTATAATCTTATAGATAATTTGAAAACCATACTTTGTGAATCTTTTTTATTTTTAGTTTTAAAATGTTTTTACAGCTTTTCCATATTTTTCAGGTGTTGTGATATCTTACATTTAGAGCTTTTGATGTAGTTTCTGTGTCAATATAATTTTTATCCTATATAAATGTTATTTTTTTATAAATCTTCCTCGAATCTGTTTATCATTCATCTATAAATACTTTGATACGTTGATAGATTGACTGGAGTAAATTACCAATATTAATTTTTCCGTAATTTCGCGATAATGATAATATTCTGTACCTAAGTTTTGTCATGATAGACAAGACTAACTAGTCTTTCCCTATTCATGAAATCACTGATTGTGTATTGTTCTACGAGGTTTCTTTAGTAGTAATGAGATTTATTGGTATTGTCCCGAAGGTTAAAAAGCAGTTCAGTGTTCTATTCCAATTTCGGCATCATATAAGTAGTTAATATTGAAATGTAGATTTTTTATTGAATTTAAAAATGTTTTAATCTCACGATATATCATCGTATAAAGATTTCATCTAAAATATTAAAATTTCAACAATTTTCAATTCTTTGCCCAATTTTATCCATCTCATTATTTATTTTCTTTTTTAGGTTAGCAAAATTAGAAGAATCCTTAAAAGACGAAAGTCTCTCTGAGGAGCAGAAACATGAAAAGAGGCTACAACATGCCCAAAAAGAAACCGAATTTCTTAGGTTAAAACGATCTCGACTAGGTGTTGAAGACTTCGAACCCCTCAAAGTGATAGGTAGAGGGGCTTTCGGAGAAGTTAGATTAGTACAGAAGAAAGATACTGGCCACGTTTATGCCATGAAAATTCTCAGGAAAGCAGACATGTTAGAAAAAGAACAGGTAAGTGATTCAATTTTTGTTTTAATCTGAACTGATTGTGAAGTTTACATAATATTGTCTGAATTTCCTTGGCTGATCCGTTTGTGATTAATAAACCACTTTATTTTTGTTGAAACATTTTGACAGAGGGACAATATCAATCAACACTTCGTTATTTATTACTTAGACTACATCTGACACTATTGTTGTTGAAAATTAATGTGATAAAGAAATAGGCAATTCATTAAGAATGAGAAAACGTAATATGGTTTCTGTCTGTGCACTTCAAGATGTAAACTGTGCCAATGTCGTGGTAAATTTATTTACAATTAATTAAATATTATAATATATATATAATTGGGCTTTGCTATTGGTTTCATTAAAAAGGATTCTTTAACTGCTGTCTTGTGCCATGTTTTATTTAAATAGAACGCTTATATGGGATTAAGCCACAATTGATTGTAATTAAAATTACATTTTTAACTAAATAAAGATTGACGTTTCAATTTCCATTCCGGAAATCGTTCTTAAGGCTGTTTTATCGTTGCACCAAAACCTAGTGACAGTGTTTTTTCTGTTATTTACCGACAAAATGTCTCGAAATTGGGACACGTTATTCGAAATTATGTTGCTTTTAAAATGATAGTTTTACTTTTTTTTATTTTTTTGAAACGTTTGTTGAAACATTGGATTATACTGTTTAACGTTCTATTTTAACCAAACTTTTTACGCCCATCACTGGAAAGAGTTTTTTTTTTCTGTAATCGTTGATTTTTTTTTTTCACCTTTGTGTGTCTAGTAATAATCGAGAAAAGCGTGTTCCAACTTTAAAGAAAATTGCTAAAAAATACTAAAATCTAATGGTGAAACGTGTTACTCATCATTGTCGCTTAGTTTCATCGTTAACGCCTTCGTGACGTCAAATCTCATGAACGTACGGTCAGTTAGTTCGTGTTAAAATTAATTTGAATGGAGAATAATGCATTTGTTGTCATTAAACTACCCGTCGGCCAGCGCCACTGGGTAAAGATGGTCTGGCGTAAGCAGTGTAGAAAAGTAAGTGATACGCCCATTTGAAATCGCAGTGTGCTGTAACTGCTAAAACAGCCTTAAAAAAGATTATTTTAAAAAAATCTGGGAAATGTAATCGTATAACCAATGACGTATAATATATCGTCATCGTCGCGGCAAAAGTCATTAAGCTCAAAATAACAGGTCTGAGAAAACGAACATGTTAGTTGTAATTATTGTTGTCTTTAATTCACCCTTATAAATATCAAGGAAATTACCGATGCAATTGTACTGTAGTATAAGGGTGATACATCACTACTTGCTATTTGCAGCACACTTTGAAGGTCAACAGTAGCAGTGGCAAAATCAGGATTTCAGTTGCTCTTTTCTTATCACTCTTCTTAGCAGCATTGGGGCTTTTTGCGTTCGTCATAGGCTTGCTCTAAATTTATTTTGTCTTCACCTGTTGCTAATTTATATCTGTTGCATCGTGCACACTGATCTTTGCGCGGTTTAAATAATGACAAGTTATATTCCTTACCAAATATCTTCTTGTACGTTGTCAAACTCTTTGGTATGCGAGCAGTTTGATCATATAGTCCCTTATACAAGGCATACTTTTTTCCAGATAGATAGATAATGTAGCTTCCAAATATTTACTTTTAGACGACTTTCTGCAGTAGTGTAATTCTGTTGCTGGAAAACTTTTGATGTGATTTTTTATAAAGTTAATATTATCTTCGGCTGTTTTATTCTCAGTTACATGTCTAACTCTTTTATCATCCCCTTCAATTTTGCCTGTTATTTTACTCTAACCTTCACATGCTTTATTTAAAGGACCATTACTGATAGAGAGTCTTTAGAAAAAAAAAATAGAAACTATTGACACCTAGAAACAAAAATAGAAACTATTTTGAAACTAAATTTACCAACCTCCTACTTTCATACTCGTTTTGGAATATTTTCTGTCGCATCGTAATCAGGCAAATATCATTACGTCCAGTTAGTAACTTCTGCCAGACGACAAAATGGTAATTTTGGAATTAAGTATATTCAGTGCTTTAGGCAACCAACTTTACGTAGTTTGTCAGACTTCTTTATTTCTGCCAGACTATGAAAATTTATATTGTGAATCGATCAGTAAACTTAATTCAATTTTGACAAAAATGGACAAGAAAGTGAGTTTTGTCGTGACGACGACGATATAGACTCAGCCACTGGTGTATAAAGTGCCACAAACATGATTCCCTGACATATAATTCAAGACAGACTGACTGCTGCAGTACAATGACGTTCCTCGAGTGCGACAGAGAAAACTGGCGCAAAGTAGTCCCTGAATCTCTGTCTAATGAACCGGATTTATAGACCACGTCACCTTTTCATTGCTTATTTAGGTAACTTGGTGGATAAAACTGGTAAATTAGATAGGGATGCTTTGCCTTAGTCTTCTCTGTAGCGCTGGGGGAACGGGCTGGTATTGGAATGAGCAGAAGGCGTTTAATTTATTTAATAAATAAATTATTATAAGTTATACTAATTACTTAACAATTTCAATTAAATTTTTTGTTTTTTGTTATTAAAATCATTTAAATATAATTTTTCTAACTAGTTTTTTTCTTAGATTTCCTTTTGTCGAAGAAAAATAAATAAATTATAAAATAAACGAGCACGCTATTGTTGCAGTAAACATACCTTCAACCTCCAAGCGATAGGTCTTAATGACACCCGATTATATATCAAGCATTGCCGACTGCTGAGTCTATTTATTATACGTCATTGGGTAAAACCAATGAGTTGTTGATAGGTTATGTCTTTTAACACTGACATACTTGGCCTTGATTTTGTAGGCAACAGCATGCTTTTGGTTGAAGACATTCCAGAGGGTGGTGTTTTTACCCTCAAAATATTAAATTCTGATTGTTTGGCGTGTTTTTTTTGGATTATATGTTTGTGTAGTGTGCTTCGTAGTCGTGGTTATGCAACATGGATTATACGATCATGTATTGTGTGTTGCCTGTGAATTGTCTAGGTGATGTCTCCGCTTCCTATTAATCCGCTATTGTTTGTATGTTCTTGTTGTCGACTTCGTCTTTTAGTACTGGCAACCAAGGTCTGCTACATTCTGCTGATCGCTTTACATTTTTTTTCATTAAGTAGGATGAGAGCTGCTGCTTTAACTTTTCTCTTTTTTATGTCTGTTTCGTTCATGATTTAAATCATGCCATGCACTGGTTCGAGTATATTTGCTTTAATATAAAAGACCACTTGATTTAACCTTTGGAGTAGTCATAAAATAAATTCTAAGACTATTAAGTTTGTAATCATTTAAATAAATTATCTGTGCTAATAATGCGAACCGTATGTTTTATTTAATATGTGGAGCTACAGTCTTTATAATTTACTTTATAAACTTCGAACTGAATTTTAAAAATTATTTATTGGATGTTTTTGGTGATTTATGTCCAACATTTTTGTTGTATATAAGTTAGTATTTTTGGACATTTGTTCGAAAAAACCATTAATATATGGCAATGATTTATAGTTCTTATAGTGTATTGTTGTTATTGTTTTGAGGTAGTGTTGTGTAATTTATTGATTTTTCAGTATTGTTCGTAGAAATCTTTTTAATGACAACTCTTCTTTTTATAATAAGAGAGTTGTAAAATTCTATAAAAATATTAACTTAACTCATATCTTTGACTGATTCCGTTGCTTTTTATTGGATGAAAACTCTTCTGTCTATCAGATAGTCACCCTATCATGACTGACCGAGCACAAAATTTTAGAGCACAAATGAATAGTCGGCTACTTCAGGCTACAATAAGGACAGAAAATTTTTTCTGCCCTGATTTTAGCAGAAATAATTCAAAATTTTCAGTCAAAATCAGAAATAATATTCGGGATGATAGAAAAGTGGCACGTCAATGAGATTATTTTTATTTTTAAATAAAATAAAATGTGTTTGATGTAATTATGAGAATAGATATTAATAAAAATATAAAAATAATACCACTTATATTTAAAACAAAATTATTATAAAACTTGAACTATACCATTAAGATAACATTTAGTTATCTCTGAAAGGGTTTTACCGAAAACGTACATAACACAATCTCGAAATGTTATTAACATGAAGTTAATTGACTACTGCACAATATTTTCGATACACAAATCCAAATACATTAGACATTAAAAAATATGGCTGTATTATTTATAATAATTGGACGGTTATAAATATCATGTATTATATTTTCCAACCTTTCTGGTATATTTATAAGTATAGAAAAAACAGTTTTTTTATTAAATCAATGGTTAAGAAAAGTTAATATGAAATCCGGTTTACAGTTTAAATAAATCCAAATTTAAGTGAACCTCATCCTGTATTATACCGCACTAAACATTTAGTTTAAATAACTACTGAAAATGTTTTTCTTTTTTTAAGTGAAAATTTTTAATGACCCGGCCAAATCTCATCAATTAAAAACTACATGTTTGGTGAAAGATCATGAAAACGAGTTTTAATTAGAAATACGATAGGTTGCAATTTATATTTCTAGCGTAACAATTAAAAAACAAGTATTTATGGTCGGAAATGGCGTTAATTCTTTTCAAAATATTCTTCATGAAAATCAATACAGTTTTGCATGAATTTGAACTAATTTTCGAAGCACTTTTCCACTCAGATTGAGATAACTCTAAAATGTGGGTTTTGAACTCTTCAACCGCATCTTCGTGTGTCGAAAATCGTTGACTACGCAATTAAAAAGAAGTCATTGGGTGCGAAATAAGTACTGTACGGCAGATGACCCATTAATTCGATGTTTTGGCCAGTCAAAATACCTGTTGTGTGTGCTGATATGTGTGAGCTTGCATTGTCGTGGTGAAGAATGATTTGTCTGTTTTTATTCTTCTTCGAATTTGAATGAAAACTTTTGGCAAACAAATAGTTGTATGCCATTTATTTAGACACGTAAGAATGATTAAGAAATCATCGTAAGCTAAAAAAAAAA